CAGGTTGCCTGGGGTGGAGGGGTTAATGTTACATTACATTTTACATTTATGTTTCATTTACTTTATATGTTCCTTTCTACAGTCTCTATAACCTAAAGAGCAATATTTAAGCTGAAGAATATGTTGAAAAGTATGTAAGGCTCAAATTCCTAACTCCAACCTTTCAGAAAGAATCCAGTCATACAAGTAGCATACATGGATCATCTTAAACTCTCTCTCAATACCCATCTTTGTGGAATATCAATATCTTAATTTCTAAATGGCCAAAATATATATATACTAATTTCTTGCAGCTTGTCCTGCTTGCACTGATGCAATAAGTTGAGCCATGACATGAGCGTATTGAACAGCTGTGTGTTGTGAAGTATAGTGGTCTGCAAGGCCATAATCTGAGAAGTTTGGTTCTATATGCAAAAAATGGCCGGGCAATGATCGTTTAGATACAGCATCTTGCCAAATATCAACAAACTCCTCCATGAGTTGTCTGGATTTCTCTAGTGAAGAAATCGGAAGATACTCCACCTGCTAAGGAACAAAGAACTTCAATTACAAATAGAACGAATTACAATTCAATGATTCAAAGTGATACTGCTAGGTAAGTTAGACAACTACTCATATTATCATACTCCGCAGCTTAAAACACCAAACAAATTTCTCAAGAATTTCAAAGCAACAACCACAGATAATTCAACCAAAAGACAGACGAACAAAAGGGTATTAAGTTTTGCATTAATTCTGAAAAAAAAAGACATGACCAATTTTGAAATTTCAAGCAAATATAAAACAACTATGATGCCAGAGTGCCACAAAACACAAAATCATAATCATTTAACATTTTGGGAAGCATGAACTACAAATAGTGCAACAATTTCCCACTGTTTATGTTTAAACAATGCCAAAACCTATCTAACTAATAGAAATCAGGATATGTTTTAGTGAAGAATCCACATCAGCTTGTGTTCCAATCTCTATGGCATGTGCTAACCAAAAATCAACCATTAACCTTCCTCATACCATAAGAATACATCAAAACGGCTTTATGAAAGAATTAATCTACACCACCATTCCAAAAATATGTAAAGTATAAGACAAACAAAAATACGGTACCTCCATAACTATTCCTCTCAAATTTTCAGAATGAGTAGGTACAACTTTCCCTACCCTCAACTGAAAGTCTCCGAGTTGGTACTGAAAACCCTACAAATAAATAGATAAAAACGATATCAGAAAACAAAACCATTGCAACAAAATTCCCAACGAGCTGTAGAAAAAGCGGAATTGAAAAGAGAAGTGAAATAATATACCTCGAAATTAAGGGCGACCCTGGATTTATAGGACTGCAATTTCTCCATTATCAACTGAATAGAAGAATCCGCTTCCAGAACAATCTTATGACCTCGAAGTATGAAATAATACTTGTTGGGTTGCTCTGGAAGTGAAATCCCAAGGAAATCACGCGGGAACTCGGCGGCTAATGCTTGATCTGAAGAACAATAGTTCAAAATCCATATAAATTAAATTAGAAAAAAAAAGAAATTAAAAAGAGAGAGAGAGATATTGACCTCGCAACATCGGTTTGTAGTAAGTGAGAGTAGCTTTCCAGCGCCCTTCTTTGACGCCGTTGATGCTCTCCACGCATTGTGAAACTTCGTTTAGGATTTGGCTGTTCACCGTTGATCCTGCATTGGGCTGCCAATTGAAAACCCTACGGGAAAAAAAAGCAAACGAAAATGAAACCCAAAAATTATGAAAATAAATGGGGAGAGTTGGAGTTTGAGCAAACACTTGTTGGTTTATTTACCATTTAAGAGGCATCGTTTTTGAGTCGGGATGGTAACGCGGATGTTCAAGCGCAGAAATGTGAATGACAAAGCCAGAAATTTTAGCTTTGGGGACAGGAGTGTTAAGAGGGTGCCGTTTCAAGCGACAGATAGTGGTACTAATTATAAAAGATTTTTTTTTAAAAAATCAGAAATATGTTCGATTTGGGCTTGGTTAAATTATGTGATTAATTTTTATTTTTTTTAAAGTGTAGATTTAATATTTATATAAATTAAAATTGTTATATTTTTTAATTTTTTAATTTCAATTTAAATTTTAATATCTTAATTTTTTATTTTTAAATATATTAACATAACATTATAATCAAATTAACATTATATTATTTAAAATAACATAATACATAATCAACATTACTTCAACAATAAAATATCATATCATCTCAATTAAAATATCATATTAACATATTTAACGGTAAAAATTTAATAATATTAATGTTTGTACTGAAATTAATAAATTAACAAATATAAAATTTAAATTTATACAAATTATTATATAAAAAATAAATTCCAATTTTTTATAAAACATAGAAATTAATTATATAATTTAACTTAATTTATATATTCGTTATCTTATCTTTATAGAATATATACATTACTTTCATCACATTTAAATGATTGCCTGCAATAATGTAATTTAAATTCATTCATTATGCATGTCTACACCTCTTTTGGTTTTTACACTTAAATTCTACTATCCTATTCTCAAAATTTAAACACAATATTTTCAAATCTAAATATGTAAGTAGTAACCTTTTGAGGTAACTATTCCAATAACCTTATGATGTATTTTAGTTATTTAGTTGACGCCAAAAGAAAAACCTAAAGTATAAAAAAAATCATGAAATTTATTTGTTAATTATATTACTCACACCTCAAAATTATTGAAAATGAAATTACATAAAGTTTAAATTTATTAATATAACCTTAGGTTCAAAGATTAACGTAGTTGATATTTGATTTTTTTTTTCGTAAATGAAAATGATGAATATATTATCTTTACTGCTATTCTTTAATAAATATTTACTGTCATTGAGACACTGACAAAGTTCAAAAACAAAAATATTGAAATTGTTAGAAGAATGTATTTAATTTAAATTTTCAAATCTTCTAGAAGAGAGATTTATCCTACAATAACATTATTTAAGATTATTGTATTACAATTATGTATTTTTTTAATATATTAAAAAATAATTAAATGATTTGTTAATTATTATATTTAATATAAAATAATTAATTACATGAATTTTCAATTACTATATTTAATATAAAATATTAATTTTAAAAAATTATTTAGTTAAATCTTAACGAATATTCTGAAACACTCGTTAGGGAAAATTGAAAAAAAAAAAACAAAGGGTATAATTGCAATATTCGAAACTTGAACTCAAATCATCGAAAGATGAACAAGAACAGAAAAGAAAAGGAAAAACCGTTTTTTAAGCACGACTAATGTTAGTAGTGAAACCAAATTATAAAAAATACGCCCGAAGAGGAATCAACTCTACACGGGTTCCCGCATTCACTCCAGTTGGCTCATAATATTTCCTTCTCTCCCGTTTTTTTGTATTTTGTTTTAAAGGAAACCAGAAAAGGAGAGAGAGCAAAACACAGATAGAGGTAGAGCTAGCTAGGGTTTATCTGGCATCAAATCTTTTCGAAAAATTAAAGTTAAAATCTGTAGATCAATGGCGTGCGTTTATATACCGGTTCAGAACTCAGAAGAGGAAGTGCGGGTGGCCCTGGATCAGCTTCCACGAGACGCTTCTGATATTCTTGACATCCTCAAAGCTGAACAAGCTCCTCTTGATCTTTGGCTCATCATCGCGGTTCGTTCTTTCCTTTTTCTTTATTTCGTCTCTTTCCGGAACGTGATTTTAAATGCTTGCAAAAATTCGTGGAAATTTGAAAAAAATTTTACGTCTCTTTTTTTAAAACTTGTCTTTATTTGATTTTTTTTTTAAAATTTGCTTTTCACTTATTATCATTTTTCTCAATCGTGTAGAGGGAGTACTTTAAACAAGGGAAGATTGAACAATTTCGACAAATTCTCGAAGAAGGATCCAGTCCTGGTATTCAAGCGCTTTCTTTTGCATGCTCTCTACTTACTTCTAGTATTATGTTACTAATTTTGTTGAATTTGTGATAAATTCATTATCCGCATGATCTGATTGTAGTTTTTTCGTTTTGCAGAAATCGACGAATATTATGCTGATGTTAGATACGAGAGGATTGCTATCCTAAATGCTTTAGGGGCTTACTACAGCTACCTTGGAAAAATTGAGACAAAACAAAGAGAAAAAGAGGAACATTTTATTCTGGCTACTCAATATTACAATAAAGCGTCAAGAATTGACATGCACGAGCCTTCGACTTGGGTTGGCAAAGGTGAAAATTGTCTTATGTTATCACATATCTCATTGACGTTTTGATTACATTGTAGACAAGGGTAGGGTGATCAATCTTGAACTGAGTTTAAATATAACTTATATTTTTGCTACTTGTCATATTGACACCAGCTTATACTTTATGTCTAGTCTAGTTCATTTCTGAACTTCTAGTGTTATCATTCTTGTTACTGCCTATTAGGGTCATGTACCGTTTCATATTGTTGGGGCAACTGATGTTGTTTGAAAAGCCTTTAACTTCAACACATGTCTACTGCTTACAGGTCAGCTTCTCCTGGCAAAAGGTGAAGTAGAACAGGCATTTTCTGCGTTTAAAATTGTTTTGGAAGGAGATCGTGATAATGTTCCTGCTCTTCTTGGTCAGGTGTATTGAATTATTCATTTGTTCTTAATGTAATATGCTAGCAGTTAGATTTGTTGATTGTATTGATGATTTTGCAAAATATTCAGACTAATTGCCCTACTCTAAGTTGTTAATTTTATGATGGTGTTTTCGTAGAGATCATAGTCGTCAAATCTTTAAAGAATTGATAAACAGTGCATAGATAAATTTAAAGAAATTCATGTCTTCCATAAAGGAGTGAAGTTCTGCCTGGAATGGCCTAGGGATCCCAATTTGGGACATGGCTTAATTTGTTAGCATGCTTCAACTGTAAATAACTTGTTGTGTATATCTTTAGGCATGTGTTGAGTTCAACCGCGGTCGTTATTCTGATTCATTGGAGCTATACAAGGTTTGTTTCCTTAATCTTATTGTGCATTTATGCTTCTTTAGCTTTAGGATTGAAGATCATGAAAAGCATGTTAACTCTCATAACACATAAATTTTGCAAGAGGGCCTTGCAAGTATTTCCTAATTGTCCTGGGGCCGTCAGACTCGGTATTGGTCTCTGTCGATATAAATTGGGTCAATTTGAAAAAGCTAGACTGGCATTTCAGCGGGTTTTACAGGTAAGTTGGTTCTATTGTTTACATTTTTTCTTAAATGAAAGTTTTGCAATTGTTTATGTTTCTAATTACAGTTAATTACTACATGTGCCATATGTTCATTGCTGATGCTGTTCTCTTTGTGTTCAAAAATTAATGCTTGTAGTTAGACTCAGAAAATGTTGAAGCTCTTGTTGCACTTGCAATTATGGATTTGCAAGCAAATGAAGGTAGATTGGGAGATATGATTATTCCACTTATAATCAATTTTCTGTTTCTTTTGGTTTTTGTCTGGTTGTCCTTTCTATTCTCTAATTTTAGTGTAGTGATGATGATTTATTATGTCTCCACAGCTTCTGGGATTCAAAAAGGAATGGACGAAATGCGTAGGGCTTTTGAGATATATCCCTATTGTGCAATGGCACTAAACTATCTAGCAAATCACTTTTTCTTCACTGGCCAACACTTTTTAGTCGAGCAACTGACTGAAACAGCTCTTGCTGTGACCAATCATGGACCAACAAAGTCACATTCTTATTATAATCTAGCGCGCTCTTACCATAGCAAGGTTGAAATGCTATCCCTTTGCTTCACTATTTCTAATAGACTGCTTTTTAATGTTTTTACTTTGAGCTGAAAGATGTGGAAAGTTGAGGATATTATCGCTTGTTCTTTGTTCATAGCAAAGAGAAAATGCATCAGCAAAAATCTCATTTCCCCTTTTGATCTGATTTTGTCTTAAAAGGAAATAGGTGGGATATATGCTAAATAAAGCCAGCTATCTAAGTGACTCATTTATTTATATTTCCTACTCATGTCTTACGATCCATAGTTACTCTTATATCAGTGATTATTTGGCAGTTCAGTGAGATAATAAGTTTGCTTCTTCCTTTATCTACTATTGAAGTTCTGGTAGATAGATAATTTGCCAACCTTAACTTGAAGTAACTATAATGTTGTTTACATTTGGCTACCTATTGTTCTCAGAATCTTACATAGGTCAGTGTAAATGTTAATGATGTCTTATGTCTGCAACTTAAAACTTAGATTTCAGGTGGCTGAACTTGTCATGCTTATCAAATTGTGATGATTTTGATTCTTATTATTACTGATGGGAGCAATGTTATTTCTTCTTAGTGTAGGGGGATTATGAAAAAGCTGGGTTCTATTACATGGCATCGATCAAGGAAATCAATAAGCCCCATGAATTTGTATTTCCGTACTATGGTAAGAAACACATTTAAGATACTGTTGAGTTCAACTGTTCAGCTGAATTTTATGCAGTACACCACTGGGTTGTTTAATTTGTTAATACTATGAGCTCAATGATCACATGGGTTTGAATTAACAAATAAAGTAATACCTCTTTGTCCCATTCATGTTGTCAGATTGAATGAGACAATTTTAAAGTGTGGAAGTGACAACATCAGTGTGATGGAGGGTGTAGGTTCTAACATTTAATAACAAGTGACACTGCATGATCAGGAGGAAAATCATTTACATGAATTTTTCAAGCTTGATGACTATAACAATGTTATTCATGGACTGTCATTTGTCTCTCATAAGCACTAAATGCTGTCTGTCAATATGATTGTATTGCAACAGGTTTGGGACAAGTGAAACTAAAGTCAGGAGATTTTAGGAGTGCACTTTCGAACTTTGAAAAAGTTTTAGAGGTTTACCCTGATAACTGTGAGACGTTGAAGGTGAGTAAAAATGTCATTATTTTTGGTTTTTAACTTATTAGAGCTTTGTTGT